GTGCACTTCTGCTTAGAGTTTTAATGACATATCCGGACTTGTCGATTTCCTGTTGATCACAACCCTAATGTAAATCAGAGATTTACGTCTATGAACAAGAGGATCAGAACCAAACATGATGTTAAAAAAGCGGTCTACTTACCATTTTACACTGTAACCAGATAAATCAAAAAAAATTAATGCACATAAATCCGTAAAGCACAATCTTCTCCCATATGCAAACAGCTTCTCCTGGCTTTGCGCTATTGAAGTAGTTTAAATGAGAAGCGATTGGACAAACAGTCGCATACGAAAGGAAACTATTTTATGCAAATTTGAACTGCAGATGAAAGGTTTTCGCCTCAGCCGTTGAGGTACCTGTACAAAATTTCCATGATCTCTGAAACCTTCACCTCAAATACTACAGAACTGAAATAGACACATCTGCATGCGTTTATGTTTCTAATTGCACTTTGTTTCGTCACATATTTATCATCTTCATCTTCATGGTTTTGACTTAAAGCCATTAACTCTGACGCAGCACCTGCTATCAGAATACAGTGATTAGATGGCCCTTAGCAGCTGGCCATCTATTCCGTATGCACGAAGGCATGTCCACAGATTACTGCGTGGGATAAGGTCACACGGTTTCTCTAGGCCCACAAAACACATGCACCGGCTGGGCGTACTCCCACGATTTCTCAACAATCTGGCGCAGGGCAAATATATGGTCAGAGGTGCTTTGACCGGACCGGAAGCCACACTTTTCTTCTTGGATCTTGACGTCAACTCTTTCACGGCACCTCCTCTCTAACACCTTTGCGTAGACTTTACGTGGGAGGCTCAATAACGTTATGCCAAGATATAGATTATAAGATCCAAGAAGAGCACATACTTATTATCTGATTATTAGCCTCATCTGAAACATTGCGAGTCAACTTCTTCCTGCTCCTTCAAAGCAGCAACTTTTGGTATTTTTTAGAGTCATTAAAATTGAATGTGGTACTCAAGAACGCGTGCAAGATTTGTTTCCTCCTAATGGGGGCATGAATCATTCTGCATCATTGAACATACATGTGCAACAGTGAATATACTTATGTAAACGTAAGTTTCTTACTGCAGAAAGCTGTCAGTTGATCCTGCCTTAGGGAATTATGATGAAACTAGTACTAATTTTACTTCACCATCGCTAAGCAAGATTACCTTCAGGTTTGCATAATGTCGAATCGGTGGGTTAATGATTTTTGGATTCTGCAAATGGTTCATCAGTGCATAATCAATGTTCTGCTTTGCTATAACCTTGCCTCCACATGTCAGGCAATCTAACAAGAAGAAGAGGCTATGCCCCTCGTTGCCAGTACTTCTACTCAGAGGTTTCGTAAACAACAGTTAAAGTGGTTTTGCTAAAGACAGTAGTGCCATGGGCTGAACTACGTGTGCCAGCGACAATTTGCGAAACATAACATGACACAGAATGCAAGTTTTTTATCTTTATGTAGAAGAACAACGGTTCAATTTCGGTGTGCTTTATTATTTAAAGTTTACACCTCAGGCATTCCGTTACTGCGAGCTCCGGAAGTCGAATTCCGGTAGACTCAGAAAAGCCATACTATAGATTCTTAGCCATTTATTCTGCATCAAAGTACACCGATCTGTTTTTAATGCTACTAAACTAGTTTGACAAAAAGCGCATCCTCGTGACCTTATGAACAGAGAAACACAATTTAAACCTTGATGATCAATATCCTGGAGCAGTTCTAGGAGGTGGACAATGTGCACAGCCGCCATCGATTCCGCGAATTCCCATTTGTCCTGGAATTCCTTTTGGACCTGCTCTGCCAGGTGGACCGACGTCGCCCATGTCTCCTGCGGGTCCAATGACGCCCTTTACACCAGGTCTTCCTCGAGTTCCTGGGGGTCCGCGTGGTCCATCAGGTCCGACTGGACCCTGAGGTCCTGGGGGTCCTTGTGGTCCTTCGGTAACGATACGCTCGCCATCGTCACCTCTTGGGCCTTTAGAACCGGCCATTCCTGGTGGGCCTTGAGGACCTGGCGGTCCAGGCGGCCCTTGCATTCCTGCAGGTGCGGTTTCGCCTCTCATTCCCGGTTCACCGGGTGGTCCTCTCGGGCCCTTCATTCCAGCCATTCCTGGAGGTCCAGCCGGTGCGTCCGGACATTGTGTGCACTGCTTGGCGGCGGGCGCTTCCAAAACTGCGCCTGGCGGTGCAGGCTTTCCAGCGCGACCGGGTCTTCCTGCCATACCTGGCAGACCCACTTTGCCATCAGGACCGGGAGGTCCCATCGGTCCTGGAGGTCCTCGATTGCACGTGCAGCCTAAAAGTTTCGCAGTCACCATAAAAAATTTCCTGCAAATGTTGCTCATGTAAGAAAGACATTAGTCTTTCGGGACAGCTTTTTGCGAAATAGCTTCTCATTCTTACGAAAAACAGCTTTTTCTTGCAAAAGAAAAAGCGGATATTGAAACCTTCAACTACTTTTTCTTTTTTCAAGTACAGAGAAACACAAAGAAGGAATTCTTCTCATGCAGGCACAATTGTTAAAATAGGGCTAAATGTGGTAATACACTGAACTATTAACCGTCTGCTAGATCTAATGTAATACCGATTGAAACTGCTGTCTGAAAATAGAGTAGTCAGTAAAAAAATACAGTGCAAGAGTAATACACTTTTCGTCGTTGCTTTATATATCTTTGAGTACATACGCTTTCGCACTAACGGATTTGATTTCATACCTTAGTCATGCGATCGACCTCCAGATGAAATATATCACATTAAAAGCTGCGTTTAAGGCAAACAACGGAATGACCAGAACTGAACAGGAGACAGATGGACGATGACTGAAAATGTTGTGTCAAGATTCAAAACTCCATCAGGTAAAAGCATCAGGACGGTTGAAAGGTTCCTAATACAGTACTTCCTACTTGTTTGCATTATTATTCTACTGCTTCAACAACCTCACCAGCATTGCTGCATTTATTCTTTTATGTCTAACGGATATCTCCTAACTATGTGCCTGCAATTTAACACTCACGGAGGGGGGCGTCGGATTGAACTCATTGTTTACTATAAAACTTGTTTTAAATTTATTATTTCAGTTTGCGTAATTTTTTCTAACTGGGAAAGAAAACCTCTCAAATGGGTCATGGCCAATTGCTGTCATTTAATATGAGCATATCGCTCGTTCAGCATGACCGTAAGTTTTTCAGCTATGCTTCTTCGTTGAAAGAATCGTCAAAAAATTTTTAAAAAAATTAATCTCGAGATTTTTATCCATAGCTGCGCGGTATGAGACGCGAAAATAAGCCAAAAATTTACTTCCGCTTTTCGTCGTCGTTCTTATTAACAAATCTTCATCTGGCCTTAGTACTTCAGTGCGAATGGTTTGGATTCTTGATCGAAAAATCACGAGTTCGAAACTCTATTCAGCCAATGGGGGTCGATAGGCTGTGCGACCATTGAAAGGAAACAAGAAAACACACGCTATAATGACCTCGTTTTGTCTTCAAGGAATATGACAACATTTGCTGATAGCACAGTGACGGATATCAGTGCTGAATCAGAGGCGTCATGAAAAGAAACGCATTGCAAACTATTAAAAGGCTGAGGAGACAGGTAGCTCAGCTCTATAAATTTTCATCTCCTCTCATAT